CCCAGCAGGGTAGACATGACGAGACAGCCTTGCAAATAGCCCTCAGTGTCCCGGGGCTCTCGAGTACCAGCCCCTTCCCCAGGTTGTGTCATGCCTTCTGCTTCCTAGGCCCCCTGCATGGTGACCCTGCCCTTCAGCTTTCGGTGGCCCATTCTCCGAGCTTAAGGGAATGGCAGCCCATCCTCTGGGAGCCAAAATGGTGTCTCCAACCTTCAAAACCTAGGCGGTAGCTTCACCTTTTTTAAAATAAAGGAAAACCCTGCGCTACCTTTCCTCCTTCCCCTCTTTTGCTGCTCATTCTGCTGGTCTCTAAAGTGCTCCTGGAATGGCCCCTGCCTTTTCTTGAAGAACAACAGGTGCATCTTCCCGTGAGTAAGTTTTGGGAAAATTCATGCAGGGGACGTGGAGGAAATTGCTGAGTTAGGTGCACATGCTCTAAGTACCTGATCAGGATAAAATGATGGAAGCGATTCGTGGAAAAATCATGTTTGGTAAAAATGCTGGATTTAAAACCTGGTATCACTCATGTGGAACACCTCACGAATCACAGAGAAAGAGAATTGACAGATCAAGACTTAAAGGATTTTGAAGAGGAAATAAATGTTGAAGAAGAAAGCAATCATGGGGAAGAGGAAGCAAAGAAATCATGAAATGATTATTTGGGGCTTTTCCTGAACTAATTCACGGGCTATAGTTGCTTGAAGACATGGACCTGGATCCTAATCACTTTTCTAAAATCGGTAGACAAATTTGGGAAACAGTGAGATAATACTGAGAAGTATTTGAAGAAAAAATGAAATGTACCGTACAGGCATTCGCACGAATATTTTTTTAACCATCTTATTGGCATGTAATTTAGAAGTTCAGTCACATCCAGAAGAGCTGTGCAGTCATCACCACAGTGACTTTTAGGACATGTTCTCTGTTGTGTGCTCATCCTTATCAGTTCTCCAGTTCCTCCCAACCTCCCCGGCCACTTACCCGCAGGGGACCAGTGATCCAGTTACTGCCCGGAAGGTTTGCCACTCTTACTGATTTTATAGCTAGAAATGCCACCATAATTCTCAGGGATATATTCTAGGTGATCCAGAACCTCCCGCAGGTAGTAACTGCCACGCTCACTGCTGAAACTGATAAAACTCCATTGTTGTCCAATTCTTCATCATTGGAAGGAATTGTTAAGATGTCTGTGTATTTTTATGGATGTATTAATATATAGATAAGTTTATATATACTCTCTCCAAGATTGGGTTTATCAAGATATTGACAATTAAAAGCTGTAATGATGAAAACTAGAGAAACATTTTAAAGGCGACAGTCAACATACATCTGAATAGTTTAACGGCGGCATTTGAATGGGACCCTGTGGTAGGTCGAGAACAGCTTGCTTCAGTGATCTGGTTTCTACTTGTAGAATTCCAGGAGGCAGAGTGCTTTATTGCGTCTTTGCCAGTCTAAGCTGGCAGGTTTGCTTATTGAGACTGTTGATTACAAACATTGGCCAGACCTAGTCTGATGGTTTGAGTAGTTACATCCTTGCTAAACTTTTCAGGGCATCCTTTCTTTGTTTTTATAACAAAGTTTTCCAAGTCTTAAGTTCTGGAATTTTGGGGTAGGGGGAAAAAAAAAGTTTTGCATTATTCTGGGGGGTGGGGTGGGGGTGGTAAAGTACAGTTAATTTCTCAATCTATTTTCTCTTGCATTTTAAAAAACAGCAAAGGGAAACCATTGTGCCTTTTCAAAATTTTGCTTATAAATCTCTTTTACCAAATATCTGTGTTCATCACTTGCCATTTTCACCTTCCACAAAATATTTGACTATAATTCAGACCAGGTTTTGTTGGGCTTTTTTTGGCCACTTTATATCAAGGGTCACAAATCTTCCAGTGCCCAATCACCAGTTCCTAATTTCCCTTAAAGCTTCACAGAACACACTTAACACCCATATTTCTAGCAGCATTCTGCCCATGATAATAGAAACTTCCTCTACAGGAGCCCTTACTTTTTCTGACCTCTTAAGACATAACCTTATTGTCCATCAAAAGTCCATCAAAAATTTCCTCAAGACAGACTAGCCCCGACTAGAAAGCACTTCAAAACAATCCAGCTTCTAAGCATTACTAACTTCCAAAGCCATTCTGTACTTTCAGGTATTGTTAGAGCAACACCCCTATTCTCTCGTACCAAATTCTCAGTTTCCTGGTACTGCCACAACAAAACAAACTAAAATTACTGCAAGGTGTGGCTTTACAGAGCAGGAACCGATGCTCTTACATGTATGGAGGATAGTAGCTGCTTCCAGAGGGCCCGTTCTAGGGGAAGGGCCTTTGTCTCTTTCAGCTTCTAATAGCTGCTGGCAGTCTCTGCCTTTGTTTGCACCCCACTCTGGAATAACCTCACTGATCTAACCAAAGAAAACAAAGTAAGTTCATGGCTTCAGGATTAACGGTTAGGTCTGCAACATTTTTTGGGGGTATCTAATTTAATCCATAACAAGCATGAAAGTAAATTTTGAGGGACAGAGCTGCTAATTTATAATTGTTTTTATTTCTTGTTCCCTTTTCCAACTGTAAATGTATGTGATTGTATTTGGTATCCTTCTTTAAATAGTTACTGAGTTTCCACTGTGTGTGTAGCAATATGCTGGGTGCTTTAAAGAGTCAACGAGACAGATCACAAGGATAGCAGTTGTGCTGCATTTAGGACTCAGACTGTACTGACCTTTACTACATGGCATGCCAGATGGCCTGATTAGAATTTGGAATCACTTTTTAAAATCATGAAATCTTTTATAGTTAGATTATTTTGCTTGATATTATTAGGGCTTATATATATACTTTTATTTTGGAATAATGGTAGCTTTATTAAAATCATGGAAAGGTAGTACAGAGCCTCTACATACACTTCACTCTATTTCCTCTTTCTACAGAAGCGTGGCATGCTTACCCAAACCAAGACATCATTGTTTGTGCATCCCCATGAACTGAACTGCACACTGTGGTTGGCTTTTTACCAACTTTCTGACCAGTGCCTCTAATGCCTTTGTTTGTTTGCCTCAATCCAGTCAGGGATACCACATTGAATGCATTTGTTTACTTTTCATAGTCTAGCCTATGATCATTTAAGTATAACTATATATCTTATAACAAAAGTGGACACTTAGAACAGTACAGAGGAGAAAAGCTTGCGCCTATTACTGTACAGTAGTAACATTGTTAAATGTGCATGCTTTAACGTCTCTCTCTGTTTTTTCAGGGACGATGAAAGACAGAAAGTGTGTTTGGACATAATTTATAAGATGATGGCAAAACTAAAACCAGTAGAACTTCGAGAACTTCTGAATTCTGTTGTGGAGTTTGTTTCCCATCCCTCTCCCATGTGTAGGGAACAGATGTATAATATCCTCATGTGGATTCATGACAATTACAGGTAAGGTGTATATTGGTATGTAATGTCTTAGTTATCTAGTGCTGTGATGACAGAAATACCAGAGGATATTAGCTTTAATAAACATGAATTTATTTTCTCACCATTTAGAAGGCTAGAAGTCTAAATTCAGGGTGCAAACTCTAGGGGAAGGCCCTCCCTCTTTCTCTCTCCTCTCCGCTCTTCTCATTCTGGAGAAAAATCCTTGTCCCTTCTATTTGTTTCCTGCTTCCTTGGATCTTGTGGCTTGGTGTCCGTCTCCCCCCATACTTTTCTTACTCACGTGTGTTAATGTTGCATATCTCAAAGGCCAATGACTCAAACACACCCTACCCCACTCCTGCCTATTAACGTAGCAAAGACAGCCCATTCCTAAATTGGATTATAATTACAGATAGAGAAACTAGGGTTTTACAACACTTATTTTGGGGAAACACAATTCAATCAATAACATTTTGCACACATTCTCAGGGGTTACTTCGGCATGGCTAGCAGTTACTTAGGTGGTGGGCTAGTGGTTATGCATTAGGCTGCTAACCATGAGGTCAGCAGTTTGCAACCACCAGCTGTTCTGCAAGAGAAAGATGAGACTTGGGAAGTTCTTGGGATGAGTCACAGGGAAGTTCTACTCTGCCTTGTAGTGTCACCAGGAGGCAGATTGACTCCATGGCAGGGAGTGTTTTTTCCTTGGTTTGAGCAGTAACATAAAAATACGAATGTAGATATGCAATACTTTTTTACTGTACTTTTTGTCGTACTGGGGCTATGTTGGTTCTGAGGTAGAATTTTCCTCTTCTATGTGTACGTGTTAGGCTGGGTTGACTAGAGAAACAAATCCAGTGGCACTCATCTATGTGTAAGAGAGAGCTTTATTTATTTATTTAAAATCATTTTACTGGGGGCTCATACAACTATCACAATCCATCCATTGTGTAAAGTGCATTTGTACATCAATTGCCATCATCATTCTCAAAACATTTTCTTTCTACTTGAGCCCCTGGCATCAGCTCATTTCCCCCCTCCCTTCCCGCTCCCCCTCCCTCAGGAACCCTTGATAATTTATGAATTATTATTTTGTCACATCTTACCTACTCCCTTCACCCTTATTTTTATACATGTATGTGGGGGGGGGGGTTGTGCTCCTGTGTAGGAGTGAAATTATTAGTTGAGTAAAAAGATGTAATTACCCTATTTGTTTTCATGCTTATAAGCTCTGACCTGTCAGAGGGGTAGAGAAGGGAACTCTGCTTGGTGCTTTTCATCCTTTGGGAAAGCCATCTCAGCACCTCACCCCTGTGAGCACTTCCAAAGAGCCTGTCACCCTCTGCTCCCTCCTCTGCCCTCTTCCCCTTTGTCTGTGAGGCTGGATCCTACTGGGTGGCAGCCACAGCCATCAGGTGTGATTGTGGTAGGTGAAGTCCCAAGACAAAAGCCACATTTTTCAGTTTAACTCTACACGGTGCTTTTGGGGGTTAGCAAAAGGAATAGGAGAGTTTATTAATATATTCTCATTTTGTTATTTTTCTTCAACAGAGATCCAGAAAGTCAAACAGATGCTGATTCCCAGGAAATATTTAAGCTGACAAAAGATGTGTTGATTCAAGGATTGATTGATGAGAATCCTGGGCTTCAGTATGTACTGAACATGTATTGGAATAATTGGGCCAGGATATAGTGACATTTTAGAATCATCTCTTTGTAGCCTAGCTTTGAGATTATTTCATTAGTTTTAGAAATGTATTTGCAGAATTCGTATTTTCTTTGCTTCTTGCTTCATAATATTTAGTAAAAGTGTAGTTTTAAATCACACTAATAGGATAAGACTTAAATCCCGACTAGTTATTTTAATATAAAACTCTTGAAAAAGTGAAGTGGGTAACGTGTTCTCTGCTAGAGCAGTCGGTCAGAATCCTTTAAAACAAATGGAAAATCTGTACTGAGAGTTGGTGTGCTCTATTGAATGCACACAATGCGTATTAATAGCAAATGCAATGTTAGAATCTCAGAACCAGGCGGAGACCCTACTCTTGACTTCACGTGGCTGCATGAGTGGGGTTGCTATGCTCAATACGCCCACCACACCCACTTCTACGGGTGTCTTTCCCAGTGCCAATTATGTACAAAGAAGTATACACTTTTTGTGTGTATTCTGGATGTTCAAGTTTTCCTTTCTGTTTCAGTATGAAATTCATGGAGCCTTCTCAAATTATAATCGTTGGATTGAATTAGCATTCTGAAATTATAAGCCTAATCTGGTTTTTAAGTGATTTAAGTCTTAAGTATTTTATGGCAATAATTCAGACTGTTAAAAGGAGCAACATTTATTCCTAGTGGCTTGTTTTAGCAAGGTAGAAATGTGATTTTAAAAGTGCTTTCTCTTTTTAACATAACAGTCCAATGTTAGGTAGTCATGGAAAGTTTCTCAGGTAATAAAGTTGAGAATAAAATCACCTATTTTCTCACTTCTGAAATATATGGAATAATATTCCCTTCATTTAATACATATTATTTAGCAAATTCAGTTATGCTTTTGATACAATTTTGAATCTAGCTTCCCCCTGCGTTGATATCTACTTGGAAAACTGGCTTTCTCACATGCTACCTTGTGTAGTGTATTCTTTCTCACTTGCTGATCTCTACACATCTCCTTTTTCTTTTTACTTTACAGGTTAATTATTCGAAATTTCTGGAGTCATGAAACGAGGTTACCATCTCCCATTTTGGACCGATTGCTGGCATTGAATTCCTTATATTCCCCTAAAATTGAAATGCACTTTTTAAGTTTAGCCACAGATTTTCTACTTGAAATGACCAGTCTGAGCCCAGATTATCCAAACCCTGTGTTTGAGCATCCGCTGTCAGAATGCATATTTCAGGTGAGGTGCTTCTCTCAAGGAAAGTCTTAACAGATGCTACAAGCACACTCTGTGGGTTGGTTGGTCAATAAACCACTTTCCCATAATGATAAAACCAGCTTTTTTAGCTACTTGTGTAATTTCCTCCAGTGCCTTTTGGGAGCATCTGGGTAAACATCCCCTACACCCACTGCTTTGTGTGAGGCATACCGTGCTCGCCCTTTCCGAGACCCTCAGGTTAAGTTTGCCTTTTAAAGCCTGTTGCCTCCCAGCCTCGCTCCTCGCGCCCACTGGTGGGACTGCTTCCTTCACCTGTTCCCGTGGCAGCTGTAACACATGGTTGAGAGCTGCGTAAAAATGGGATACTTGTCTCAGGCCTGATCCTGCTGGTCCCACGAAGGCAGTCGCTGACTTTGTTTTGTCCACGCTCGTATTCGCAGTGTCTGTCCTAGTGCCTGCACATGATGAGTATGCGGGAAAGATTTAAGTCATATAATTTGTTGCGTTTTTTGGTGGGGCCATTATTGAATATGATATAAGGCCTTTGAAGGCAGAATATTAATGAGTAGAAAAAGAAATATGACAGCTGGCTTTTCCCTCCAAATTATAGCTAGTTTTTCTAGTTGCTAAACACTTAAGTAATCTACAGTTTTATGTACAAAGAGCTTTTTCTGTAATTGCCTTTCACAGAGAAATATAAATTATGGTACATATTTTGGATGGTACTGTTGGATTTTAAACAGAAACATTTCACAGTTGCTAAAAGGCGGAATGTTTGTTCATTGGAACTTTCTTACATGCAGGAGTACACTATTGATTCTGACTGGCGCTTCCGAAGTACAGTTCTCACTCCGATGTTCATTGAGACTCAGGCTTCTCAAAGTACTCTCCAGTCCCGAGCCCAGGACGGCTCCCTGTCCGCTCAAGCGGTGATGGTTGGACAAGTCAGGTCTACCCAGCAACACTGGGACTTCACACCAACCCAAAACACAGGTAACCATCCACCTGACCACGTACATGAAATAAATAAGCACAAGGCACCATGCCTTATGGAGGTAATTTTGGCTTGCAAGAACGTGAACATTTTATTAAGAGAAGGAAGGCAATAATGGCAAAAAGCATTAAGAACCATGAGAAAGATTTCGCTATTAAAGGAGAAAGTGGGTTGCTTTTGACTGGAGAAACCAAGAGACATTTTTATTTATGTATATTTTGTTTTATTGTCCAGAGAAATCTGTTCGATTCACCAAAATTAAAAAACTTGTAGAGCAAAATGCCTTATGGGATTTAGCTTACTGGTTTGGAGGTTTATGGTCATGGTTTAAATATGCTATCTCAGCTAATTGGCCTAATAACATGTCTGCTTCTTAGTCCGTTGCGTAGTGCATGCATGGAGTCTTAAACACTTACATGTGAACAGTGACCTTCTTCTGGACCAACAGAGGAGGGAGAGTCAGGGGTGAGAGAGGGTATGAAATGTGTAGCTAATTATCTCCATAAACTAGATCCTGTGCCATTGAGATGAGAATTGGATGGCATCTGGCTACCATTACTCACTGCTGATAAAAGTTTCTTTAGAACAATCTGATCAAAAAGGAGAAAATCCAGAATCGAATGTCAAATTCTCCTGAGATCTAGACTTTTTAGAGACATGAAAGGTTCACGAGCCCCTGAAACTATTGCCGAGAAAATTTTTTAACTGTTAGACCACAGATATCCCATGAATCCACTTTAATCAATAGCACAACTTAAGTAGTAAAGAAAGTTTGCCATGATCACTCTGCGCTTTGAAAGAACTAACTGTATGTGATCAGATTGACAACAGCAACCTGAAAGGTTACGTGAGAAGCATAGGAGGTACTGATTGTATGCTAATGAGCGAGGCTCCATTTAAGATGAGAAGGTGTGAATGGGGACCCAACATGACGAAGGTAACCAGTGCCACTGACTTACACCTGCAGAAATTGTCGAATTGGTATATGATCTGCTGTATACACTTTCAATAGCAGTGAAAATAAAATACATTATTGTTAGGAAGCAAGGTACAGCTAAGTAAAAAAACAAACTTACTGTGAATTGGGTGAAGGTTTATAGAACA